GTTTATTCAATTACATCAGGAAAATTTATAAACTGTAAGTCTCTGGGACCTATAAATATATGTAGATTTGAGTATATTTACATAATTTACATATACGTACGTATGAATATGTATGTGTGTAAATTGACATAATAAAATCCATGTAAATAAATATACGTAAATCTACATATAATTGCATAAATCTGTAATATTATAGAGATTTCCGTCTAAAAAATTTCCAGATAAGATGCTAATAAAATTATATAATATAAAATATTTCACCTCTTGTAAATTCACCTTTACTTGTAGAAGTATTAAGACTTTTAAAGCAAACAGCATCTCTAAATGAGTATGATTTTTTTTCCCAAATTTTCTTTTGAGAATTCCAAAATAAAGTCTATCCATCATACCACGTTGCCTTAAAAACTTTGCCAAAACCTTCTTTAGTAATATATTTAATATTATTAAATCTCTCAAATGGAATCCATTCAATAACTCTTTATATTTAGTTGCCTTAAGTTGGGTTTGTTGAATAAACTCATCAATTTCTGTATCCTAACTTGTCCATTTATTAAATTCACTTTGAAATTTTATGCTATTACATGTATTACACCATTTATTTCCAGAATTATATCGTTGGCAGTCTTTGCATTTTCCATATTTCTTGTGATCTCTAAAATGTATTATTTAAAATAAGCCATTATAAAAACTTTATATTGAAATAGTTATAAATATAAATATTTACCTCATACATTTTGAAATGGATTGAAAAAGTATTAGTTGATATTAATTAATTTAAAACTTTTGATTTCTTTGATTATGAATTTAAATACACACCTAATACAATTGATAATAAACAAGATTAATATTTAATTAGCTTAATATAAATATTTGATGATGTGATAATTAATTAAAGAAGATGTTAGATTGGGCTTGAAACCGTAATCTAAATAATTATGAATTTAAATGATACTCACTTGCTGTAATAAGATATGTATTTGATTACGTGATAATTAATTAAAGTATTATTAGATGTTAGATTAGGTTAAAACTTTGATCTAAATAATTATGAACTAAAATAATACTCACCTCCTATAATTCAATTGCATGATAATCAATTAAAGATTAGGTTGAAATTTTGATCCAAATAATTATGAATTTAAATAATACTCACACCCTGTGATTCAATTGCATGATAATTAATTAAGTATTATTATTAGATGGATTATGTGATAATTAATTAAAGTATTATTAGATGTTAGATAGCTTGAAACTTTGATCTTAATTATTATGAATCCGAATACTCACAACCTGTGGTATAAATCAAAAAATAGTCAATTAGTGAATTGGTTTGAAGGTTTTGATTTCAATAATTATTAAATTTAATACTCACATATTGTATTATATTGTACAATTGATCTTAAATAAGGTCAATTAAGCCCTTTAATATGAATTTTTAAATTTTATCAATTTTAGTTATAAACACTTTCTCTTAATTATTACAATGAAAATTCGAAATAAAAAAATTTTTAACCAAAAAATCAAAAGGCGAGTGATCATAATTATTATTATATTTATATTATGTGATTATTAAAAGTTATCAAGTCGTTTGAGATCATTTAGGTCACTGCTCTGAAAAATATAAAAATTTATTGATATTTTTACCAACTCTAAGCAATTTTATCGAAACGTAAATTCCAATACAAATTTATTTATTATTATTATTATTTTTTCAAAAAAAAAACTTCTAATCGAAAAGAAAATGTTATGTTCAGAATGCAATGAAGAATTTATTTATTGGAACTGGTGCATGCAACTCAACACATTTTAAATAATTTTGATAAATGGACATAATAGATAAATTTATTCAAGATGCCCAACTAAATGCTGATAACTATTATAAAGTAATAGAAGGATACCTTATGATAGATTTCAAGATTCTAAACAAATAGCAAAAGGTGATGGATATATTATTGATTAGAATATTAAAAGTCAACAATGGACAAGACGTCATCAATTTGAAGTGGGTATTAAAAAAGTTAGATGGTATTGCTATGGTAATATAATTGAAAATTTTTAAATGAGATAAATATTAATATTTTAAATTAATATTTAATATGGAAATTTTTTTGAAAATATACTATAATTTTTTTTTTTTTAAAAAAAAAAAAATTATGTTATTTAGATGGCAATTCTCTTGAGAACAAATGATGCAATAGTATCAATTAGACTTTACGGAATTACAAAAGATACAGATACTCACGAATATATGATAACTTTAAAGGTGGAGGTCTTAGAAATTATTTAAATAAAATTACAATTTAGCTAAAAAATTTTCAAGAATTTTTAAATTAGATATAATTCATCGTGATTTTCATCCCGGAAATATTTTAAAATATGATTTGGAATCTAATAGTACATACATATATATCAGATTTTGGATTGAGTAAATTAATTATAAAAAACAAAAAAAAAAAACACAATCCCCAAAAGAATACCATTTCTGGAGTATTACCCTATATAACTCTTGAAGTATTAAATGGGGGAGAATATACAAAGGCTGCTGATGTTTATTCATTTGCATTTGTTGCATATGAATTCATTACTGGAATTCCCCCATATTATGATGTATCGCATGATAAAGATTTGGCTTTTAAAATATGCAATGGATTTCGACCAAAAATTCCATTTCACACACCTGAATTAATCACACAAATAATTATTCGATGTCGGGATGCGAGTATTAAGCATCGACCCACTTTTAAAGAATTAAACAAAGAGTTGGATAAATACTGGCATATTATGAAAATAATAATAATGGTGAAATTACTTCTAATTAAAGAAGCTAAAACCCATCCACAAGCAATTTATACAATTTTCAATTCTATTTTTTAAATTAGGTGATGACGATGACGATGATGATAATGACGATTGACGACGATATGATGACGATATGATGACGATATGATGACGATGTGATGACGATGTGATGACGATGTGATGACGATATGATGACGACGATAAGGATATATCTAATTTATAAATTTTATTATATTTAAATTTATTAACATAGTTTGTAATTAATATTTTTATTATCTAAATAAAATAACTCAATATATATATATATATTATATAAATAACTAACACTTAATTGGATTGGATTATTGAATTGTTGAACAACCAATTTAACATTTTAAAAAGATTGATTAAAGCATAATTGGCACAAACTCATTTAATAAATGTTTCGTGTGATGAAGACTAAAAACATGAATACTAAATACATGTATGTCTAATAAATTGTATTAAATAATTTAAATTTTTTCTCAAATACAAACTACAGGCATTTCCAACGAATTTCACTATAAAGATGATTAAAATATTATTATAAATATCTAAATATCCTAAATATATTATTATTATTATTAGACTTACATTATTATCATCTTTTCTATTTTGATAGCATTATTAATATAATTAATTTAATTCATCCTCGATATTATCATCTTCGTTATCATCATATAAAATTTATCTATTATTTATATCCATCATCAAAATCAAATAACATTGAAGAATAATTACTAGCCAAATAGTGGTTTTATCATTATTGTTGTTTATTCATAATTAATTCAATACACCGTCATACTAAATATTATATTAAATTAAGACTTCAACAAATATTCTTTATATAAATTTTCGTTAAAAAAAATAAACTAATTAAAAAAAAAAGTATAAAACTAATTGGGTCAAGTATTTAACACTTTACCATCCTTCTTTCTCGTGATTCTCATGATGAATACTTTTAAAGAATTTAAAAGTTGATTTATCCATTTTTTCCTTTCTATAAAAAAGATTTTGCATTATTATTAACTGTTAAAGAAAATACATAATTAAGATAAATACGTATTGTATAAAATAAATTTGTTTACTCTTCGGATTTTTAAACAGCACCAGCATAATCTTATTTGGCAAGATTTTCCTGATCGAAAAAGGAAAGGGTTTGTTTTTAAAATAATGGAGTGCATGTTCAAATTCAGGGGGGTTAGTAAAATTTGTCACCCTATTGAATATCAATTTTTTTTATTTATAAATTAGAATTTTAGCAGTGAAAATCCTATTTGTCACCTTTATCTGTCACTGAAAAACGAAAAAAAAAAGACAATCATGTGTTTGGTGAGTTTTTTTTTTGTTTTCCTATTGTCAACTCCCTTATCGGTCTATTATCTAATGTGAGAATTAATCGTGAGAACGATGGATGGAAAAAAAAGTTACATTCATGATAGTACTGAATGTTAAAGAATTAACTGAGATAGTGATTATGATTAAAAAAAAAAAGCTTTTGTGCCAATTGACACTAATATCAAGACAATTGTGAAAAAGAAGATATTGTGTTTGATAAAGGCGCCAGACGAATATTACATTGTAAGATTTTTATTATCCGCGTAATAAGATACAATTTATGGAATCAATAATGCTTCCAATTTTTTAATATGAATATTTATAGAAAGAAAATCCGCAAATTGTAATTGTGTAATTATTTAATTCAAATAAACAATTACCAAATGATGATAAGGGGCACAAAAAAAAAGTTTAATTTTTAACTTAGGTTTTGAAAAACAAAATTGGGTTTTTGAGTGTGTATCTTCTCTAATCCGTATATGATAAATGTTGTTCCTTTTCTATTTTTAGAAACAAAGATCAAAAAGATCTTTGATGATAAATGCTCATTCCTTTACTATTTTAGAAACAATAATCAAAAAGATCTATGATCTATGATGATAAACGCTCGTTCCTCTACTATTTTAGAAAAAGATCAATGAAAAACTTCTCCGAAAAACTTGTTTAATTTAAAAACAGAGATTTGCGCAAATAATAGTATATTATGCTTTGAAAAAATGCTTGGATGTCAAAATTGAAAATTTTCAAAATTTTCAAAATTTTCAAATTTAACCTAAATCAAAGACAACAAAGAAAATCTTTAAATCATATTTCATAAAATGAATTCGAAATTATTTATCTTTACAATGTTGGTTTTTGTAATTTTGACCACATTGTCTACTCATTCGGCTCCCGTTCTCCAAGAAAACGACGCCATCGAAGCCAAATTCCATCAACCTGAAGTTACCAGATTTGCCTTGACCTCTAATAGAGTTCTCGAAACCCGGTGCGAATTTTGTGGAGGATTTACTTACGACCAATGTTCACGTCTCTGTGGGTCCAGAGGCTATCTTTATTACTACTGCGACGCATGCTACTGCGTTTGTCATAATGGCTGATTTAGTTCCATTCGATATTTTTATATCATATATCTATATGATATCATTCATATCATTTTTTATTTTACATATATCAATATATTTTTCTTTGAGTTCAAAGTATTTTAAACTTTTTATTAAATATATTTGTATATTTTTTATCTAGTATTATTATCAATAAAAATACATAATTTATCATAATCTATGTTATTTATATCCACTGTATTCTATAAAATTTCTAAATCAGAAAATAAGATTAAATGTTTTAAATACTTGACCTCAAACCTCTTGAAATCTAGAGTAATAAATAGTAATAAATCCAAAAGAACTCGTTTTTTGTAAAAAAATATAATATTTATAGTTTATATAAATTAAGAATAAAACCTATTTGCAACTGACCAATTTGCTCATGTTCTTTGACAACGTAACAAACCATAAAAAAAAAAATTAAATCATTAAGTTTTATGATTAATTATCCATCAGATTATATTATTGTATCACAGCTGACAATAATTAATCAAGTTCATCTAAAAAACCAATAAAAATTTTAAATTTTATGTGACAAAATCGAATGGAACCATATGTACAAATTGAATAAAGCATATTGTCGCGGTCTGCGCAGAACAAGTGGAAAGTTACGTCGATCAGTCTCAAATTTTATTACACAATAACTCAATT